TGGGGGGCTCGGGGCTGTGTTCCTGCGGGGTTTGAAGGTACAAGTCACGCCTGGATGCCTGCGGCAGAGCTCGGAGGGTGCAGGGCTCTCATCTGTGTCACTTTTTTTTTTTTCTTTAGTCAAATTAACCATTTGGTTGTCTGTGCAATATTCTCTGTTCTGAACTATTCCGCATCTCCCTGAGCCTTTTCTAACTGGGGTGAAAACCAGGAACAATTCTAACAGGTGGTAGTTTTGTAACAATGACTTTCTCCAAACCTTTTACAGACTTGCAGTTAACAGCAATTAAAGGAACTCTGCAGAGTCTCTCCCTGTGTCGCGTGTTCTCATTTCCTTGGTGGGATGGGGATGGCTTCCTCAAGAGGGTCTGCGTGTCGCCTGCTTTCCGTTTCCCTTTCCTCCCACCTGCTTTGCGGGAGGTTTGCTGAATTCAGGAGGATGGTGGGAGAGAGGGATGGGGACAAGCAGCGCTGGGGAGCCCTGCACCTCCTGAGCCATGGCTGGTGCATCTGCCCGGCTGAGTGGGATGTGGCAGTGCCTGAGGTGGCCTCACAAAGGACCTTGTCCCTGCCCTGTTCCCCACCACGGAGGGCTTTTAGTGAGTCGATAAAAATACCTGAGTATGAACCAGACCTTGTCCCTGCCTGCCAGAGCCCTGGCCCTACCCCCTGTGATGCTGAGTAGATGAGAAACACTGACCTCCAAATTTATCATCATTCTAGAAAAAAATCTGAGAGCAGGGTGAGTCCTCAGGGGTTAGTCAGCCAGTGGTGCCTGCTGATGACCTCGATGGAGGGTCTCAGGGTCATGTCTGGTTCCAGGAGCATTTTCAGGAGGCTCTGGCACTCCTTGGAGATCCCCAGGTGCCTGGGGACAGAGACACCTTTCTGCTGCTCGTGCAGCATCTTGGGGATGTCAGTGTCATCGAAGGGCAGGCGGGCGCAGAGCAGGACATAGAGGATGACACCCATGCTCCAGACATCGCCCTTGCGGCTGTCGTGCTGGACGCCCTGCAGCACCTCGGGCGCCGCGTAGGCTGTGCTGCCGCAGAAGGTCCAGCTCAGCTCCTGGCCGTCCCCAGGGAGCCGCTTGGCAAAGCCAAAATCCGTCAGCTTCAAGGTGTGACCCTGCAGCAGGGCGTTCTCGCACTTGAGGTCGCGATGGGCCACCCCGCAGCCGTGGCAGTACCGGACGGCCTCGACCAGCTGGTGGAAAAGCGCCTTGGCACGGGGCTCGGGCAGGGGACCCTCGCGGAGCACGTAGTCAAAGATGTCCCCGTCCTCCGCCAGCTCCATCACCAGGCAGATCTTCCCCTCCGCGGACTCCAGCACCTCGTGCACGCGGATGACGTTCCTGTGGTCCAAGCCTGTGGCGATCTGGAGCTCGCAGGGCAGGAATTTTTCCCGCCGCCCGGCTGCTCTCCGGTGGCAAATTTGGGAAACCAGTTTTCTGCTGGGAATGAAAAGCCTCCAGGGAGGGACAGTGCCTCAACCCAGAGCTTTTTTGGGGTCCCCTCTTACCTTTTGGGCTTTTATTCTTATCAATTATTTTAATCGCCACTTTCTTCTGATGCTTTCGGGAAAAAGCCTCCTTCACTTTGGAGTACATCCCCTCCCCAACGGTCTTGCCGAGCTGGTAGCCATGG